TTATTTTAATTTTATTTTTTTTAAGACTTTTTATGCAGTAAAAATGAAAAATATTATAATTAACCATAAACATCAATAATTAATATATATATGTGCAATAAGTGCAAATATTGATCCAAAAAGTGATATATGCAAATATATCTCATAAGCGATAATAAGATATGACTTTAGGATTGGATCTTTAAATATAAAAAAGCTACCTGGACTCTTCAACCTCTAATCAAAGTTTGGATGTGACTATTTATATTTAAAATTCTATTTATATTTATATTTATATTTAATTTTATTATTGTTTTGATTAAGGAACTATATGAAAAATCTTAATGAAATAAAATTTTTTTAATACCTCATCTTCTAGACGATATTCAGGAATAAATTACTTAATGAGAAGTTTTGATGCAAATCCTTAAAAAATTAGGATAGTTTTGGGTGCTTTGTGTGAATTTAAGGTTTCAAAGTTTCATTTATGGTTTGGGTTTTCATTTAGTGTTTGAGTTTTGCACATAAGGTTTAAGGTTTCATTTTAGGGTTTAGGGTTTACACATAAGTTTAGGATTTCATTTCAAGGTTTTAAAATATTACGAACCTCTTTAAAAATCTTTAATATTTAGGTAGATTTTTAGAGTAAACTCATTTTTCATAATTTCTCTAAAAAATTAATCTTTATATTTTTATATATTTTCTTTTTCCATTAAAATTTATTATTATTATAATTTTCCTTTTAATTTTTTAATTTTTTATTATTTAATAATTCTTCAACATCTAGGCAAAATTAAAATTTTAAAACACGATTTGTAATTCCTTTAACGTCTTGGCAAGTATTTAAAATCTTTTTCTTTCTTATAAAATATATTATTTATTTATTATTATTATTTAGTCTTTTTTTTGGCATAAATCTAAAATGTATGAAAAATAAATTGTATCAAAAGTAAATTAAAGCATGAAACTTGCATAAAAATTAAAATGAGCATAGAAATTTAACCAATATGAAAATTAAAAATGCATGAAATTTAAATTGCAATTAAATTTAAACAACATAAAAGAAATATGTATGGACTTGAATGATATGAGCCATACATGAAAATAAATTTTATTGAGATCATACAGAATTTTGGCATATTTTAAAACTTTTGTTTTTCTTTAAAAAAAATTGATCTAAAAAAGCTTAGGAATTCCTTACCATATAGTTTCAAAGCCAATTTCATGTTATCCCTACAAGTTTCTCTCTTTTGGTTAAAGTTATAAAACATGGGAAAATGGAGGTCTAATAGTCATTAAAACTTTATGCACATGAAGGAAAAATGACCAGATTTCCTAACTTGCTAATATAAAGAAAAAGTGAAACTATAAGCATCCCCACAAGTAGCCCTCGTGCAAAGGAAACCACATCCCTTAACAACCCAAATATAGAGCAAACAAGCCAGAAGCCATGGAAAGATAGAAACTTTAGGATTCCCCAAACAACTAAACAACAAGCTCGAGAATGATGGAGCTTTAAGCTCCCACATACAGGCCCGATGTGGGAAAAAAAGTAAAGGAAAAACAAAACAGGAAAAACTTATGTTTATGATAATCTATACGTAGAAAAAGGAAACTAGTGAACCTAAAAAGATTGAAGCTTTATGCTTTAATGCAAAAAACTACCTATAAGAGAAAAGAAAAAAAATGAAGCTTTAAGCTTCTGCCAACCAAACTGAAAAAAAATCATAAAGCTTTAAGCATAGATTTAAATAGCAGTGGGATAATGGTATGGCGGCCACTATTATGTGGTAACCCCACCATCCGTCATCGCTATTGAAGAAAAAATGAAAGAGAATTTGAATCCTCACTGTAGCAACGTATCGTGGCCATGAATTGCGACATAACGTTGAATTGCGGTAATAGCGGTTCGCTATTGCCCACTACATTTTTCATTCAAAAATTCAAGAAAAAAAATTTCATTTGACTCTAGTTAAAACTTAAAACAAAAACAACAAGTTAGAAAATAGACATCAATTCACAAATTTAGCAAAAAAAAAAAAAAACTACAAAACTTAAGACTTCTAAAGATATCAATTCTCTTAAATTCAACTTCAATCAAGATCAAACACATACAGTTTAAGGTAAGTAATTAATTCAACACTCAAATTATTTTTTTTTAAATTTCCAAAATTGTAGTGATTTTGTGTGTTTGGGATTGGTTTGGGCTATAGTGCACTGCTAGAAGGGGGTAAGAGTTGCTGGGACTTAAAATGAGAGACAAGAGATGAGAATAAGACTTGAGGTTGAGGCAGACAAGTAGAGAGCACACACTGAAAAAAAAAGAAATGGGATTAAGATGGAGGTCTAGAGAGAAAAATTATTGAATGAAGGGTGAAGGGATGAGAAGTTGTTGAGTGAGTCAGTGCAATTTAGTCAAGAGGCAAAAGAAGTAGACTTGGAGGCTATTGTTGTTAAAGATTGCTCTCTGCATGGAGGTTGGCAAGTTTGATTTATTGTAGGCCCATAAAAAGTAATTCTTTTAGCCTATAAATAATAATACTTTTGCTTAATTTACGGATGCTTTAATTTATAGATACCTAATCACTTGTTCGCTGATTTATGCACAATATAGTTTGGTAATAATTTGATGAGTACGATAATTAAATAATTAAATATATCATTAGTTATAGTTATCTATTTTTCACATGCTTATTTATCTCTTGTTATTTTCTAATTATCATATAAGTAATTTTTTAAATATGAATATTTTAATATAAATATTTTTTCTTAAATAGATAAAACACATGACATGATATAAATTACTTTAAAAATCATAAAATAAAAGGTTTTATGATTAACAATTAAAATTATTATATTTTATAGCAAGTTGAGCAAAATTAAAAAAAAAATTCTTGATTGTGATAGTCATAATAATCGCGAAGGTCTCTGTTATATTCGCAACCACAACAAACCCGATGCGATAAAAAATGCAACCTTTATAGCAATTTAAATCCCTAGCTTTAAGCTTTTGCAAATCGAATAGAAAAAACATGAAACCTTAAGCTTTTATTAGCCAAACCAGAGACAATAAAAGGAGAACTCGCATGAGATTGATAACAGTGTTCATGTGGACGGAAGCAAATTAGAAGAGAAACAAAAGGGATAACTTTTTAACAAATTTCCCAAATGCTGTAGCTCTTCGTTGGCCAAGCTTTCTCTTTTATTTTATGCTCAATTTTTTTGAACGAATGCTTCCCCTTTCTTTCCTGTTGGTGTTTTACACAGTTTTTTTTTTGTTGCTAGCATTCTTTCTCTTCTTTTCCTACTGGTTTTCTCCTCTATTTTCTACTATTGCCACCTTTCTTATAAACACCACTCATTTCTCCTCTCACGAATGCCTTTTTTTTTTTGTTTTTTTCATTTTTTTTGTTCTAGTATCCTTTTCTCTGGTTCTCTTTTATACCAATTTTCTTTTGTTTTGCTTTTTTTTTTTGTTTTCTTTTTGCCTCTCCTTGAAAGCTTTCCCCTCTCTTTTGTTTTTTTTGGAATTGTTTTTTGCTACTGCTTTCACACGTTTTCCACCTCATGCCATTCCTTTCAATTTTTTTTCTTCACGTTCTAGCCTATGCATGCCAATTTCATGCATGATTCCTCCCTATTTTACATGGCTTTACCTCCGAACAAGGCTAATAGAATGGCCCCATTTCTTGCCCATATCTTGGGCTTTAAAAAGAAACCAATGCTTTAGGGCATTAGCTTTCATTTGTGGCCCACTTGGGCTTTTATTTTTTTGGGCTAGTTTTGGGTTACTTTCATTTGTTTTATTTTAGTTTTATTTGTTTTATTTTAGTTTCATTTGAGCTCTCATGATTTTGTTTTGGGCCAAGCCCATTTTTATTTTTTATTATTTTTTAATAATTTTTATATTTTTATTTGGTTTTAAATTTTATGATTTTTAAATTTTTTTAATTTGATTTTTTATTTAATGGCCAATAATAGATCATTAATAGATTTTAAGGATGGATTTTTTATCGATCCTTTTATTAGACCATTTTAAGTATTTATTTGAGTTTATGCAACAGACCTTACTATAAGATCTATATTGAGTTTTATGCCAAAACATTTAAAAATGAATCATATAATAGATTCAAAAACCGATGATTTAAGTCCAATTGCAAAATTAAATTTAAATTAAAACAATAAAACATATTGAATAAAATTAGTTGTCGACGTTAATATAAAGAAAGGTATATTAGAAAGGTGATCTGGAATCCACGGACTAGGTGAGAAGACTCGAGTCAGCTGAAGGTAAGCACACTTGGTCTTCGGCCTTGCAAGAAACCGATTTAGAATAAGTCCAGAACGATCTTGCAGATCTTGGGACAACACTATTCAAGCCTTTTTTTTTTTTTTTTATAATTTTATGAGCCTTAATGGCTTCAGGCCTTACTTTTTGTGGGTCAATTTTCGGCAATATTCTTGCCAAAAAAAAAAAAAAAAGGGTAATCCTGCTTGTGCAAATATATATAGTCTCTTAGTAGGCTTCCTTCAAGCAATGGGATCTTTACCTTTTGCTTAAAGATGAGAATTCTCGTACATAAGCAACCAACATTTGATTGGCATTAATTTGTTTGGTTCCCACACCCAGTTTCTAAACTCTCTTTTATTCCTTGTTAGGAACTAATAACACACAAGCAACCAATGAAAGCATAAGAATAAAGAGAGATAATATCTAAAATTTTAATAAAAATTGAATACGAGTTGAACAAAAATAAATAAATAAATAAATATATATATTGTGATTGATTTGTGGATATAAATGTGATACGATAATTTGCGTTTTAAACATATTTGATACAAAGTAAATAATATATAAATATATAAATTTTGAGATATATATATATATATATATAAATATATATAAAAGAAACCTGCGAAATATATTATCTTTTAAAGCTTTTTGGCAATATTCAGTATTGACTGGGTTGTTTAATTTGTCATAAACAGAGTTGTGACTTGTTGGATTACTGAATTCAAATGGAGGAAGAAAACAATTTATATACAAGGAAAAATGTGTTGTGAAATTTTGCTACAAATAAAATGAGAGTAGCATTCCGAAATGATCTTACATCTCATCATTTGGAAGCTTGATTGATCCACCCCAGCATCAAACAGAGAAAAAGGGATTTTCTTTCACAAAAACAATAGTAGTGATATCGATAGCAATAATATAGGTCTAACAATAAATAAATAGAATACGAATAAAATATATAGACCAGCAAACCAAAGTATTATACTAGGATGGAGGACAAACAGCATAAAAATCCTCCATTTTTATGGAACATAAAATAGAAGAAAAGAAAGAAAGAAAGAAAGAAAATAAAATGTAAAAATATGGAATAAATAATATAGCTCCAATAAAATCTACAGCCTAAGCCTAAACTTGCAGCTACTACTTTGAATGGTGATGGCGTTGTTAGCAGATAAAGCATTCACCACTAGCCTGCACCTAACCAAGAACTTCACTTTCATGAGCTTTAACTTCCCAAGCTTAACCCTCACAGGCTGGTTGACCCTCAGTCTCAAAGGAATGTTTCCTGTCTGCTGCTGCTGTTGTTGCAGCGCGCTGATCAAGCCAGTACCATTTTGGATTTGTCCTGACAAAGGCAAAACCAGCACTGTTGTGTTCCGGTGACCTTGGTAGAATTTTGGCATTGACCCTTCACATAGTTTTGTTTCAGTGTACCATGCTTCCAAACGGCTGCCTCCCTCGTAATATATTCCGATTCTCTTGTTGGGATTCCTTGCAGTAATAGTCACATCAAAGGTAGCCGATAAGCTAGAGTTGACAGAATTAAGATTGAATTGGGTTACCTGCAAACTGTCAATAGAATATTTTGGTAGCTTTGGTTGGAAAACAAGGAATAAAATGCCAACAATAATCCCCAGAATAACGATTTGCAGTAAGAGTAGGGATAGTGTCCAACACAAGCACTTGCAACAACAGCTTCTCTTCTTTGGAGGTTTCGAGTGCGTGGCAGGAAAAGTGCGATGGAAAGGTGGATATTCCCCTACAGGGTTACCCTTCTCGGATATTGACGTGCCCTGAGGCACCAAGGGAGCAGTTGAGGAGGTTTGTGGCCGTGCTTCAACATCTGGAACGGGATGGATTTTCTGTTGATCCGCCATTGATGAAATTGAATTCAAGATTCAAGAGAAAACTATATAAAACTTTGACAAAATTGAACAGCAATTTGTGTTCCAGATCGTAGTTTAAAATAAATTGATATAGAGCAAGGGAAACGGGGCATTGATTAAGTCATACAACAGAAGCTTCCTTTATTTGACTTTGTTTTCTACCGTTTGTGTTTCTTTGAAATATTCACCTAATCGTCCCCATTCATATTGCTAGGAAATTTCCATATTTCAAGCTTTCATATTCACATTGCGCCGCGAGGGACAAAAAAAAGCATTGTTTTATTTAAAAAACTATATATTCACGTTTGAGATTGTTCATCTAATTTCTAATTTCTTGCATGCGTAAGCTTTGTGTTGAAAAATAACTCAACCAGCGAATAATTCAAAGCCGCCTTAAAAATTGAATTTCTTGTTTAGAGAAACTGACAAATTATGGTGACATCCATATAATAAACATTAGGTATAGTGTACGCTTTCATTTGGTCCAAAGAAAGGCTATTACAAAGAATCGTCATTCAGGACGTATTCATTAAAAAGGCTGAAAAGCAAATCGGTACTCCCCCTCCGGAACGGCTATTCCATCCTTAAACACGCTTTAATAATTTATGAGATTACAACTTTAAACCTAATCACGACAGTCCACAACATCGTCTGCAGTTCACTGTTACTGTTGATATATTTGATTAGATATGATAATTTATGTATTTATATAATATAAAATATTAAAATTTTTATATTTATATAATGTTTTACATAAAAATTATATATTATAATTTGTATCAATATAAAAATATAAAAAATAAATTTTTTATTTTATCAATCTTATATATAATTATTGTTATAATTTTAAATCGTATTATTTTCGTATCTTATTTTCATATCATATTTATATCATGTTATCATATTATATCAAATCTAATATTTTTTATAACAATTACTGCTCCATCCAAACATTAACAGCCTAAGTTGATCACCAAAACACTAGATTTTAAGTCAAATTTCAAACGTCAATCAGTAAATCATGATTTCAGATCGTAATTCCAGTCAAATTTGTTCAGATTAGAGGTTTGGTTTTTGGGCGTGACAACCAAATTTTGGTGTTGCCACCTTCGAATCTGCCCAAAAATGACCAGATCTGGTGTTGGAGTACCACCAGTGACCAACTCATGAAGAAAGAGGGAAGAAAGAAAAAAAAGGTGGTCGAAAACAAAGGAGAAAGTGCACTGGCGACTGTGGTTGCTGGCGTCATGATTTTCAACAGTAACATCAATTATCAAAAATCATAGGAAAGGAGAAGAGAAAAAAAAAAAAAAGAGAGAAAAGAGAGAATTATAGAAAAAAAAACACAAATATTATGAATTAAAGAGTTATTTTAAATAAAATTATTATTTTATTAAAGGATAAAATATTATTTTTAATCCTATCCTGTTTATTCCTTGACATAGCCATAACTAATCAAACATAGTTGTACTTTTTCTTTTCTATTCCATTCTATGAACAGAACTATGTTATTTCTATTTCCTTTTTATTCTATTCTTACAAAATAATTATTCCATTCATTTTTTATTTCATTCCAAGGAACCAAACTTACGGAATACTTGGTAGATTAAAAAAGTAGAAAGATGAATAAAGGAAAGTGGAAGAGTGCAAAGAAAACTAATTTAATAGAGAAAAATGAGAGAAAAGAAAATAAGAAAACTTATTATTTTTTACACTTATTAATAAAAATAAATCACTACAAAGGAAAAAGAAAATAAGAGAGAAAATGAAAGATATGTGAGCATGTATTGCATACTTACAAAATTAACCATCAAATTTAGAATTTTTTTATCTTAATTTAAAAAGATTATAATGGTGAAATCATATCATTTTTATTTTTTTCTTTTCATTTTTCAACTTTTTCATCTTTCCAACCAAGGACATAAATGGAAAGAAATAATATGTTTTCCATCTGTCCACTTCACTCTAGTTTTTTATCTTCTAATTTTTCTATCCATCATACCAAACAAAACCTAAGTGTGATTAGATTACTGCTTTAAAAAGTGATCTAATTCTTATCTAAAATGGTGAAAAACTTTTCTCATTGAGATAAACTTATATGTAAACCTTATAATAGTAAATATTACTTATTTAATATATGAATTAAAAATTGCTTCCTCTCAAAATTATAATTATTTTATATTATAAATTTTTATTTTCAAACTAATATTTATTGTAAAAAGTTCAAAATAATTTACAGCATTCTTTTACCTTTTTTTAAATTTTTTGTATATAATATAATCTTTTTATTTTTAATTGTTATGATTTTAATAGATTATTTTATTTTCTAATTCAATTTTTTTACATAATTTATATTATAAAAATTATTTACTTGTCAATAAATATATTTATTAATTTAATAATTTAATTATATTTTATCATGAAGTAAATAAAATATTAATAATATTTTACAAATTATTATCTTTAAACAATATTGAAATTCTGGTAAAAAAATTAAAATCATTAACTTGTGTAACTATTAAAATATGTATGGTTATTTTGATAATTTCAAACAAAATAACATTAAATTTTTAGTAATACCAAGTGCATCGATCTATAATTCTTAAAAACTAATAGGGGCTTTTGGTTTGCATATTTTAATATTTCGAGAGGAAAAGTAATTTCAGAGAAATTATTTTAAAGGTTTAAATTCCTATATTTGGTTGATCTTATAAGAACGTAAGATTTATATGTTCGGTTTAAACGTAAGATTTATGTGTTCGATTTAGAATAATGTAAGATTATCCAATGAAGTCTTTTATTATGTTGTCCTAAATGTTACGTTAATAACACATAACATATAGTTATATTTAAATTACTTATTTATTTATCATATTAAATTATTTATTTAGTTAACATGAAAATGGTTTATTTAATATTTTTATGAAATTAATAAAAAATTAAAAATTACTAAAATTATTTTGATATATCAAATAGTATTTTTGTAAATAAATATTTTCAAGATATTTGTACATATATTATGTATAATTGCATTAGTTTAATTACTATCCTAACATTGATTGTCCCTTATATAGAGCAAACAATTGGATTTAACATATAAATTATTTATTTATTTAATGAATAAATTATTTATTTATTTAACATGTAAATTATGAAAAATATATTATAATTATTTTCATATTATTTTTTTATAATAGACTTCATTTTTAATCTTAAAATGTAGTTTTTATTGAAACCCTAATTAAAACTAATGGTTCACAAGATATTTTCAACAAAAATTTCATTTTTAATCTAAAAATGTAACAAAAACTACATTTTTAATCTTATAAATATAGTCTTTGTTGAAACTATAGAACCAAAGGAAAAATATTTTTTTTCATTTTAAATTTTCATCAAATAATACGTTTTTAATCGTAAAAATGTAGTTTTTGTTGAAATTAAAAAAGCAGAGGAAAAATATTTTTTTTTCATAATATGCTTTCAAGAAAAACTATATTTTTAATCTTAAAAACTTAAAAACATAGTCTCTATTGAAACCCTAGAAACCAAAGGAAGAATAAATTCTTTTCACAATATATTTTCAACAAAGGTTATGTTTTTAATCTTAAAAATTTAGCATTTGTTAAAACTCAACAAAGACTACATTTTTAATCTTAAAAATTTAGTCTTTATTGAAACTATAGAAACAAAAGAAAAATATTTTTTCTTAATGTGTTTTCAACAAAAATTACATTTTTAATCTTAATGTTGTAGCATTTGTTGAAACTATAGAACCAAATGAAAAATAATCTTTTTTGTAGTATATTTTCAACAAAAATTATGTTTTTAATATAAAAAATGCAGTCTTTATTAAAAATATAAAATTTTAAAAAATAAATTTTTCATAATATTTTTTTAACAAAGATTACATTTTTAATTTTAAAAACATAGTTTTTGTCGAAATTATAGAATTTTTAAAAAATGATTTTTTTCAAAAGTCCATATTTTCAACATAAACTATATTTTTATCTTGAAAACATAATTTTTTTTAAACTATAGAATTTTGAAAAATAAATTCTTAATCGATTGAAAACAAAATTATAATTTTAACCCATAAATTTTTTAAATATATTTTTATTTCAAATAATTACAATATTATTTAAAACTTATACATATGTTAACAATTATGATTATTATATTATATTATAATTATTATAGAGCATTAAACCTTATAGGGAAGATCTTGAGGAAAAAATGTTGAGATGGACTATGAAGAGGATCTTGAAGAATACATTAAAGGATTTGTTGAAAAAGGTTTGATGCTATTTCAAGTGGGAAGAGCACTTGTAGAAAGCATTCAATCTGAGCTTGAAGAGGCAAGTCAAGAAGAGGCAGATCAAAAGGAGTAGATATAAGAGGAAGTTCAAGCAAGGCCAAGGATGATTGCAAAAATGTATAAACAATGTTTGAATGTAGCACCACCTACCTCAAAGTTTATTCAAAATGGCTACTTAAATAGTTGAAGGATGCCACATTTATGGAAGATTGTAGCCCTGAACTTCAACAACTCCTCCCCAAAAAGCAAAAAGATTTAGGGAGTTTTATTATTTCTTGCAAAATTGGACATTTAAAATTTGATGAAGCTTTTTGTGATCTTGAGTCTAGCATAAACTTAATGCTTTAAATATTTTTATGTAACTAGGATGTGGAGAATTGAAGCCTCCTAAATTCAACCTAAAATTTGTTGATTAATCTGCCAAGCTACTACAAAAGATGTTGAAAAATGTGTTTGTGAAAGTTGGTAAATATGATTTCCCTATAGACTTTGCTGTATAGATATGGATGATGATAAAGCTCCATTACTATTAGGTAAACCTTTCCTATTTACTACCAAAGCTTTAATTGAAGTATACAACTATAACCTTACCCTTAGATTCAAAAACAAATAAATGCAGTTTGTAAATTAAAGGTATGGTTTTCTTTGGGATGAAGATGATGTGAATGCAATAAAGGTAAAGGAAAACTTCAGGGAATTTGACTTAGTGGCGAAACCTCCTGACCCCTTGATGCAAAACCACTTGGCAATACCTAGCTTCAATAGTGCCAAACCCATGATAAACTCAAGCTCAGTTTATGTGATTCTAGTTAGAAGAGTTAGTACACCTCCTAAGACCAGTTCTAGTTATGTCATTCCTTAGAGAATGATGAAACAAGGCAAACTCCCTTCTAAA